GTGAGGGTGTGGGAGGTCAGATTCTAAGGTAGGGTTGGACTGAAGATTAGTATATAGGAGTAGTGGGTAAAAGAATAGAGACAACCCCCACAATAGTATAGTTCAGAAAATTGCAAAGTGGGCTGAGATCAGGTAGGGGTATTGAGAAGCATGTACAATTGTATAGACTAGGTCTTACTAGCAGTAATAGTAAAGTGACAGTCTTGTGGCAGAATCAATGAGGTCTAGATAACAAGAATAAAGAGTATAGAACCTTGAGAGGTGTATTCATGGAACACAGATGAAGGATAGTAACTTATCAACACCTTGTGACTGAGATACCAGGGGGGAACCTATCAAATGACAGTATAACCAGCCAAGCAAAGAAGATTATACAGAAAGAAAAAGAATACCAAAATATTATTAAAATAAAAAATGTCGGAAAAGTGAGAAAAAGATAATACAAATTTACAGTAACTTGCAAGATTAAAAAAAAAGGAAAGAAAAGCAGAAGATGTAGTGCAGGAGAGATAAATTTGGAGTGGAAAGAATAATATTAGAATGAATGGAAGAGAAACATAAGGGATTGTGAGATAAAAATAATAAGAATTGAAAAATAAAATGTCACATAAAACACAAGATAAAATCAATCAACCCAATAACAGCCACAAAAAAAACAAACAAAACCAAAAAAAACAAACAAACAAACAAAAACACACCTCTTGTTGGTTTCTAACTGGCTAGACCAGTTTTTCTGATCTTGCTGGCTTCAGCTGGCTGGGCGACCTTTGAAATGCTTCTCTCTCTCCCAGCCAGATCTCAGCAAGTCTATCAGGTACCCTGGGCACTCCCGAACACACTGGCTCTCTGGATCTCACTTCCACGTTCTTTCAGACTCCAAGGTCCTGCAGAGTTCCAGCTCTATGATCTCAGGAGACACCCACGACGTTTTGGGATTCACTGAGCCCTCCCTGGGAATCGTAAAAGGGCGTGCCCCTCCTCCAAACTTTTGAGATTCGGGGTCTAGGATTGCCCTAAGTGCCTCGCCTCGGCTGCAACCCTTCCAGGTTCAAAGCGCTCGAGGGTCAGTCTTCCCGACGGTGTGCGAGCCGAGCCCTTTCCAGCTTCCTGTTCCCTGCCGAACCACAGTCCTACTGGGTGTTAGCGCCTTTCTCAGCTCCCCTGGTCAGGCTGGCTGGAAATTTCTGAGCCACTACTGTAGGAACGCACTAAGTGCCACGTCCCTCCCGGGATCGCAGCGCGAGATTCAGGCCTCCCTACGGGTCGCGAGCCCAGCACAGCCGCCCGGCTCTGTGCTCTCCACCGATCTGCACTTCCACCGGTCTAGGGGTGCAGGCGCTCTTCCAGGCTGCTCCTGGTACTGTCGACTAGAGGCCCTCACTTCTCCCAGGTCTCTGGGCGGGTGTTCATAGTCCCTGGGCGATTTTTTTCCCAGTCCAACTGGCCAATCTGTTCCTTCTAGCAACACATTCTCCCCTGGAGTTGCTCACCCCCCGTATTCGGGGGAGATAGCAGCGACTTCCCTCTTCCGGGAGCCCTGAGGCAGACCCTGGAGCCCCGGGCGGGCCTGGGGTCTGCACACCCCTAGACCCCGCGCTGATCCCTGGGCCCCTTTTGTCCTGAAGCAATCTCCTTACCGTCTGGTTTTTCAGTGAGTGCAATAATTTTTGATGTCCTGCTTTCAAAAGTGATTCAGTAACCTAGCCCACTTGCTCTGTTTCTCCACCGATCCACGAGTTTCCCCCTTCTTCACAGAAGCCGAGAAAAACGCTGCCTAGAGTAAAGCCGCCATCTTCCCCCCTCATATGGAGATTTTAATGACCAAAATAAACTAAAAAGTAAAATAGAAACAGACTCACAGATAGGGAGGAGGCTGACAGCTGTCAAGGGCACAAGGGTCTATGTGGGTGGAGGTGTTGTGCAAAAATAAAAAAGAGAAAAAATACCTGGGGACACAGACAATAGTGTGGTGATTACGATGGGTTGGAGGGAGAAGAGTGGGAGGAGGGCACAGTGGAGATAACTGGTGATGGACTTGACATGGGGTGGTTAACACACAATACAGTGTACAAATGATATAATCTTACTAACCAATGTCACCCTGATAAATTTAATTTTTAAAAAAGACCAGGATTATCTTGATACTTAACCAGAAATGACATTTTACAAAATCCAACATTCATTCCTGATTTTAAAGACATTCAACAAGACTTCTGGCCAAGATAGAGGCAAAGGTAAGCATGCTGCACTTTCTCAAACAGCTAGAGAAAAAATCACAACTAAACTACAAAACAAATATCACCCAGATTTTCAGAAAATCGAGATGTATTGAAGTATGACAACCAAAGATTTAAAGAAGCCACATTCATCTAGGTTCCTAGGAGGGGTGAATATGTGGATATGTGTAGAGTAGCACAGAGAGGCTCAGAGAGGTGGAGAGGAACAGAAAAATGAGGAGATGTGGAGTAGTGAAAAGAGGTGAGGTGATGTGAAATGGGCAGTCCCACACCCACTTGTGGTCAATAAAAATCAGGAGGAGTATCTCAGGAGTGAAGGATCCCAGGCCCAGATCAGACCACCCAGCCAAGGGTTCCAGCACCAGGTAGATAAGGCCGCATAACTTCTGACTATAAAAACCAGTTAGTATTGAGATGGTGAAAGAAACTGTGTGATTCTCAAGAGACACCTCTTAAAAAGCCTGCAACAGACTTGGGACTCACTCATACCCACCCTTCTGGGATTCAGAAACAGGTCATCAGTGGCATAAGGGGAGAAAGTGAAGAGACAGGCAACAGGGCAAGTGCCAGGAGACAGCTTCCTCCTGGGCAAAACTTCGGAGGCCAGGCAGTGGCACTGTAACCTCTGTGAGCCCTCCCTCACACAGATCAACACAGTGGTGACATGGGTTGCCCTGCCCTGGCTATTACCTAAGGTTCCACCCCATACATTATATGGGTGCACTTTTCTACAACAGACCACAATACTAAGGGAATCAAATCAGCTCTACCTAATACACAGAAACAAAAACACCAAGACTGCAAAATGAGGACACAAAGAAGTATGGCCCTAATGAAAGAATAGAACAAAACCTCACAAAGGGAACTAAACAAAATGGAGATAAGCAACCTATCAGATGCACAGTTCAAAACACTGGTTATCAGGATGCTCCAAGAGCTCCTTGGATACTGCAACAGTATAAAAGAACCCAGGCAGAAATAAAGGTTACATTAAGTCAAATAAAGAAAAGTCTATAGGGTATCAACAGTGGAGGGGATGAAGCTGAGATTCAAACCAAAGATTTGAAATACAAGTAATACAAAAGCATTCAATAAGAAAAGCAAGAAGAGAAAAGAATTCAAAATTTAAGATAGGCTAAGGAGCCCCTAGGACATCTTTAAATGTACCAACACACAAATCATAAGGGTGCTGAAAGAAGAGGAAGTGCAAGAAATTGAATACTTCCTTGAAAAAATCATGAATGAAAAATTCCCTAATTTGGTAAAAGAAATAGACATACAAGTCCTGTAAGCTCAGAGAGTCCCAAACAAAGTGGACCAAAAGAGGACCACAACAAGACACATCATGATTAAAATGCCAAAGGTTAAAGATAAATAGAGAATCTTAAAAGCAGCAAGACAAAAGCAGATAGTTACCTACAAAGGAGTTCCCATAAGACTGTCAGCTGATTTCTCAACAGAAACTTTGTGGGCTAGAAACTGGCAAGAAGTATTCAAAGTGATGAAAAACAAGGACCTATAACCTAGATTACTCTATCCAACAAAGCCATCATTTAGACTTGAAGGACAGATAAAGTGTTTCCCAGACAAGGTAAAGCTAAAGGACTTCATCATCACCAAGCCATTATTATATGAAATGCTAAAGGGAATTATATAAGAAAAAGAAGGAGATCAAAATGATGAACATTAAAAGGGCAATAAATTCACAACTCTCAATAATGGAATCCAAATAACAAACTAAGCAAACAAGCAGAAGAGAATAGAAACATAGATATGGAGATCATTTGGAGGGTTATCAGTTGGGTTATCAGTTGAGGTGGTGAAAGGGGAAAATGAGACTAAAGGCGCAGGGATTAAGAAGCACAAATTAATAGATGCAAAATAGATAGGGGGATAGGAACAGCACAGCAACTGAAGTAGCCAAAGAACTTACATGCATGACCCATGGACATGAACTAAGGTAGAGAATTGCTGGAGGGAATGGGGTTACTTGGTGGAGGAAAGGGGAAAAATTGGGAGAGCTATAATAGCATAATCAATAAAATATATATATTTTTTAAATTCAACAAACTGAATAGATAGGAACTTTTTTCAGCTTCATAAAGGGCCTTTATGAAAAACCCATATACTTAATGATAAAAGATTGAATGATTTTTTTGTAAAAATAAGTCAAGCCTGTTTACTCTAACCACTTCTATTCAGCATCATACCATTTGATCTAGCAACTGCAATACAGCAACAAAAATAAATAAAATAATCTATCCTCAAACAAAAGGAGTAAAATGTATTTATTCACTGGTGACATGATTACCTATGAAGAAAATCTGATTTAATCCATTAAAAAATCTAGTAGAAGAAAGAGGTTTTACAAGGCTTCGTGATATAATGTCAAAAAAACCAAAACATTCCATTATATTTATGTATATTAGCAATAAATAATCAGAAATTAAACAAAAAATACTATGTAAAACAGTACCAAAAATTTAAATACTTCAGAATAAATCTCAAAAAAGATATGTAAGACCTGTTCACTGAAAAATATATAACATATCTGGAAAAAATTTAATGGGACTCACAGAGATAGACATAATGTTTTCATAAGTCACTTTTCCCCTGGAATGAATACATTCATTAGTTAAAAATTATGTTAAAGATTTGATAACATACAAATCAATATGTGATGCCTCAAACTTACTGATCTAAAATATCAGATAGAAACCAAAGACTATGCCATTGTTAGTGAAAAGGCCTTAACCTTATCACTTAAGAGATTTTTCTGTAAATAGTTAAGTTTTTGCATACTCTCTTCATTGCTGCCTTCATCTCTTTATTCCTAAATGTGTAGATGACTGGATTTAAAAAAGGAGTGAGCACAGCATCAGACAGTGCAAGAAACTTGTCCATCTGTGAATTGGGGTGTGGCCATGTATAGATAAACATGGTTGGGATAAAGAACAAAAGGACCACAGTGATGTGAGCTGACAGAGTGGGGAGAGCCTTGGATGAACCACTTGAAGAATGTTTCCAAACAGTAAATACGATGAAGATATAGGAAATGAGGAGTATTAAGAAGGAACCAACACAGATAAACCCACTATTGGCAGTGACCATGAACTGCAATCTGTTGGTATCTGTACAGGCCAGTCTGAGGAGCCGAGGAAGGTCACAGTAAAAGCTATCCAATTCATTAGGACCACAGAAGGGCAAATTAACAATGAATGCTAGTTGGAACAGTGAATGAGTGATGCTAAGAGTCCAAGCAGCAACTATAAACAAAATGCACACTCTCTGGCTCATGATGGTCAGGTAGTAGAGAGGCTTGCATATGGCCACATATCTGTCAAAGGCCATAGCCATGAGCAGCACCATCTCTACCCCAACAATGACGTGGATGAAGAAGATCTGAGCAATGCAGCCTCCAAAAGAGATGACTTTATGCTCTCTGTAAAGGTCATAAATCATCTTTGGTGAGGCAACAGAGCAGGCTCCTAAGTCAATGAAGGAGAGGTTGGCTAAGAAAAAGTACATGGGGGAGTGTAAGTGAGCATCAATGGTCACAGAAAACACAATGAGGATGTTTCCAGTCATGCTTGCCACATAGAGCACAGAGGAAAACACCAGGAGGACAAGCTGGATCTCCCATGAATGGGTGAGTCCCAGAAACACAAACTCAGACACAACTGAGTGATTCCCTCCATCCATTGATCCACCCAGCTGGGCTGTGGCTGCAATTATGAGAACTAAGAAAATGAAGAGGAAATTGTGATTACAGAGATGACAAGACATCAAAGAATTTCAATGTTCTCATTACAAATAAAAAGTATACAGTTATACAGTTCCCTAAATATACAAAACAAAATGTAAAATCTGCGTAATATTGCACCATATGAATTGTAACATATTTTAAACCTATCACTAAAACTCTCACTCCACTGTTAGTTCTCAAATTCATGAGTATACATGATATCCATCACCTGTTTAAATCACTTCTAATATTGACTATTCCTCATTTTCAACAGATTCCATCTTGCTTTTATGTATATTCTCATCTTTTTATTTTTCTATTTTGCTCTCATAACTCACTGAAAGCAGGAATAAGAGGAAAATATCAGTAACTGAGGGCTGTATCCCCAGGAGTGAAAAGCTCTTGACATGAGTCAAGACTGAATTAGGATAGCATGAAGCTTGAAACTGAAAAAAGAGATTAGTGTATGTGAAATTGAAGAGCCCCTAAATATAGAGAATGAGAGGGTTATGTGGACTCTAATAAAAAATATCAAACCAGCACTATTTTCCATCACACTCTATCATGTCCACTTCTAATATGGGGGCCTCTAATCCCACACAATTTTTCATAACTGCAAAGCCATAAGCTGGCCTAAACTCTCTGCAAGAATTTCATTAGGAATCTGTGCCTCCTAGTGATACAAGGATTTCTCCAGACCTAATAAATATACACTCAGGAGATTTCATCAGAATTTAACTAAGGCACATGCCTAACATAACCACTAAAAATATAAAGTTGCTCTGCAAACAGATTTTTTCAGTCCATATGCATGAAGGTATTAAGGACCAGCACTTGGAACACTCGAGATATTAAATTTTAATGCATCAGTGTCTCAGCCTCCCTTTGGTGACATCTTTTATGTCCACTGCCATCCCCCTACCCGTTAAAGTACTGAGTGCTACCAGCATGGTCACCCTTTCTAAAATTTCACATTGACCTGTTTACTTTGAAATACATTCAGATATTTTATGTTCAGGGAAATTTTTATTTTATGCTTTTCATCTATGATTATAAAATAAGAGGAATAGCAAACATTAATAAGACATACTTTATTAGGGCACAAAGCTTCCTTCTTGAACTTAACCCACAAAATACAAAATGTAACACTGAAGATTTAGCCCTTTAATGTGTGTTGTATTGGAGGGTGTGATATGGAGGGTGAGCAGAAAACAGTGTTATGTTTCTTTATTTCGAATACACACTGCAGTCATTCCTGATAGTGGAGAGTAGGTCCTAAAAACACTCAATACAAGTTAATCACTTTGGGATTTGATGAAATACAGTAGAACAGGAATACTAACATCCTTCATTTTGCAGCTACAACTCCAGACCTTCTTACACAAACAGCCCTATGACTGATACCTTCACTCATCCCAGATCAAAACTCACAGAGGCTGTCATGTCTTGATCCCAATTCTGGATCACCATCACTGGCACAAATGCCACTATATTCTCACTTACACATGGTAATTACACTGTCACCTTCTGAGCCAATAGTCCACAATGTCAAGGTGTACACTTTCTATTGTCAGAAACCTGGAGCTTAGAGTGGGGTTTGGGAGCAGGGGACAACCCCATATGCTGCTCATCAGGGCAGGACAGGACTGATGGGAAGAATATGCATGGAGAGGAGGTGATGGAGACACCAGGGAGGGAGCTAGGAAACTCAGTAGCTGTTGAAAGTGATCCAAGGCCTTAGTGAGAAAAAGCACATGTCCACATTGTATTGAGAAGAAAATTCTCATGGAAATATATAAAAGTCATTTTTCATTTGGTCATCAATCAGATGGAAAACATGAGATCCAGAAAAATAAACTGAGTTTCCCAGACTCACACATTTGTAAGAAATGGGCACCAAAAGTTAAATCCCTTGATTTTATTCCAAAAAGATAAGTAATAGAGAAATTTATTAAGTTTTAAAAAACAGAAACAGTGTTTTTTTTTCCAGGTTGAAACTAAAAGTAGCAACATTCACAGTGTCCATTATTAATACTAAATTATATACCAGGCTAATGATAACTAAATATAACATGTATGACTAGATAAAGATCATTTGACAAGTACAACAAAAAGTTAATTGTATTCGGAAAACTGATTACTTTTCCTGCTATTATGATTTGTGTAAAGATTCTTATTTTGCGGGTCTGTAACTGGTCTCTATAACTGTTAAAAACACTTAAAGTGATGCCACTAAGAAGCCCATTCTGTTGTTCTTTATTAATTCTATTATCCTAAAACTTCCATTAAAATCCCAATTACATCTTATAGCTTTTATTGAAAATTTTCTTTCATACTGATTTGTTCCTTTGCTAACTTGTGTAAGTAAAAGAACAAGAAAACAGTTGAAAATACAAGAATTGCACACATACCAAATACAATCTAATGTGGTATACCATACATGTAAAGTGAATAGTAAGATGAATATTTGGTAAGGGTTTTTTAGGGGGTAGGGAAGAAGGTAATTCATGTCAGCCACAAAGGTAGGGGAGGATACACCAGGACACAGAAATGGATCCAGCTCTTTAGGAATTAGAGAGAACTGAATAGAAAAAAAATAAGGAAGATACATACAATGTGAGGAAAATACCTTGAATTATATAAAATTACCCATTAAAATTAGCTGTCATTATTCATATGCATGTAACCCATATTATATACTCAGTTACCTATAGAAAGTAGATTGTTTCTTGATTGAGAGGTTATATTAATAGCCCCAGCTTGTAGTAAGGCCAAGCCTTCAGGTCAGTGATCTCTATTATTCTTGGTTCTGTTCTCTCTCGGTTGCCTTTTCCAATAGTTTAAACAGGCATAAGGGAAAATTCCTCATTTAAAAATTTATACAATCCATGACTCTCAGTGAGAGAGAATCCATCTCTCAGTGAGGAGTCACCTAAACCTTCACAAGAGATTTCTTCCTGGGGATTAGATAGCATTTCCACTAAAAACCTAGAATTAGCATTCAAATTTTTTTTTCTAAAGTCTATGGAATAATCTGGTATTTAGACAAAATAAAACAGAAGGGATAAAAATGAATATTTAAAATATGGGGAAAATGGGGAAAGGGGGGAATTAGGAAAGATACATTAAATATAAAAAAATGAGTTAGGAGAAAAGAGAAAGAGCTGAGGAAGGTTCAGGTGATGAAATACAGTAGACTCTGTCTCTGAGAACCAAGGTAAATTAAAGAGAACATCAGTCTCTCACCTGTAGTTCACTGATTGAGTGCTGCTCCTGTCTTTGACATTGGGTTGCATTTAAGGTAGGAGAGAAAAAGCAGCTGCTTTTGTTACTTGCCCTCTCAGACACACAGAGATTCTGTGAAAAATCACACATGGTAATGAATAAATATACTTCCCCTTATGCTGCACAATGATATACACATGCAATTCACTGTAAAGATCTGAACTGTTCATATGATTTGAAGAGTCTAGAAATACCACCTAGCAGGAGAAACAGGTACGGAGAACAAACAAGCACATGAAATTCTCCCTGGCACATGTTTTCTGTCTGTTCTACCATTCCAGAAGTATTCTCTTTCCAGTCAGTTTCTGTTACTGAGGGTTACAGTACAGTTATTTCCAAAAGTGTGTGGTTCTTCTACATGGTAGTCTTATCACACAGCTTTATGATCACATTCAGAAGTCCAGAAATCATTTCCAAATTTTCATTTCTATCTTTTTCAATCCTGCAAATATGAAAATCACAGATTGACTTTCATACATTATGGCAGAGTGGTTAAAATCTTGGACTTTGACAGAACCCAAGCTTGTTTTTGAACCCTGGCTCCACCACTATTTGCTATGTGAGCATGACAAAGTTACTTGACCTCTCTGAGCTTCAGATTCTCATTAATAACATGGAGATAATACTACCTCACTTTCAGGGTGTTACAGAGATAAGACACATAATACATAAATAAATGACATACTAGCACATAGTATGGCACAATAAATGGCATTTATTCTATATTGAAGACTAGCTATATGAGTGACTTTCAAGTATAGAAAATCATTCCTCAAATTCAGATTCCGCCATTCTTCTTAAGTATTGAAATTAGACCTAGTTTGAAGTAAAGCCCTCATGTGTGCACTAGCATCCAATCATTTAAGCATATTTCCCAGAAACAATTTTACTCCTTAGTGGACATACCAATCAAAGACTGCCTGATGCATGCAGAAAGAAGCTTTATGGTCCAATGAGGCTGTGTCCCCTCCCCCACTGCTATCCCCAACAACCTAATGCCATAAACTTCAATTCTACATACTTAAAACATTAAACTATTTCTGACCACATCAGGTAACACTGGCTCTTTCCCTTGTCATTCAGGATAAATGGGAGGAGAAAAGGAAGAAAGGGCCAAGACAGGTACTTCAAGAGATTTCTGAAGGTGCACATTGGTGTTCATCTGCCAAGGCAAAGAAGCCAAACCATACAACACCAGCTGCTCAGGATAACAGACTTTTCTCCCAAATTGCCTTTATCATGAGGTATATAAAATCTTTAGTTTTTATTTTCACTTTCATTATGTAGGTGGAAAAAACGAGAGGTATTTTAGGCACATTATAAAGTCAGATGGTTACTCAAGACCAAAGTTTTCCTTATGCTCTATTCCCACTCTTATAACTTCTCACTTACTCACTGTGCTAATTTAAAGCAAATTTACTTATAAGGCTTTAAACCATAAAAGTCCTAGAAGAAAACATAGGAAGTAAACTACCAGACATCAGTCTGAGTACTATATTTTGGACACATCCATTTGAGCAAGATAAACAAAACAAAAAAATAAACAAATGGGACAGCACAAACTAAAAAGCTTCTTCACAGTGAAGGAAACCAACAAAACCAAACAGCAACCTACTGACTGGGAAAAGATTTTTCAAAAGATATTTCTGATAAGGGGTTATACCTAAAATTA